CATACTTTTCTACATGTTAAGAGAAAAGAATGTGATTTCAGCAAGTTACCATGGGCTCTGACTTTGCCAAGAACATGTCTGCAGTAAAAGTGCTTTCTTACATTGGTTAGCAACTCAGTCTCTAAAATGGACATTGAGTCACCACCAGCTGTTTGTCCTTTTTGGACAGGCAGGAGTCTGTTGGGCTACAACCACACGTTCTTTGTACCTCTTAAAGCTGGGCTGGGGATGTAGCCTGGTCTCCATCAACAGCACTCAGGTGAAGCAGTCAGGTAGAAAATGTACCTGGTGTTTCCTGTACTCTCTCCAAGCTTCTTAGCACAGGTTATATTAACTTACAGTATGTTATATTAACAGTTTATAACTAGAAGTGAAGGTCATAGATTGCAAAATTTCCATGACTTGAGAAAGCTGGTTTTTCCATAAAAGTTCTATCATCACATCCTGCTCACCCTGCATGCCCCACACATGAGCACAACCATACAACCTAAATAGCTCCAGTCAGACCACCCTTGGGAGACAGAGATTCCCCTGTGTTCCCAGGACAGTGGCAAGAGATGATGTAACAGCCACATCTCACACATGCCTCGGGTATTTAGCTCTAGGTGTGAATTCAGGATTATTTCTGAATAATATAGGTGCATGAATTCTGAATATTTAATAATTGGGGGTCAAATAATATCAGATCTACTAATATAGTCATAGATGCGCAAATAAATTAAAATAAAAATAATAAATACCATGAAAAATAATACGTTCAATTAAAATTACGTGATGAGTGTGAAAAGTTGTTAGTTCCTTATTGTATGGAATTAAGAGAAATAGTCTATAAAAAATAAAGCATGAGGATATTATAAAAATTATTCTTCTCAAAGTAACCACTAGAACAAATATGAGCAACTTTCTAATGCCTAATAAAATACATCCAAAAATATTTTATAGATTTTTAAAGCTACATAACCAGAAATCATAACATAAAGTACATGACATAATTAAGATAAAATTCTGTGTTTTATCCTTAAATAAAAAAGATGAAATTCATCCATCAATAGAAAAAAATAGACATTTGAATCAAATGATAAAAATGCTGTATGCAAACCATATACATGATCCGGAAATACCGGTGGTCAAGGACTCACAAATGTCAATAAAAGGAAAGAAGGAATTGTGATCTTAAAAAAAATGCATTAGTTTCCAAAGCACTAGTTAGGGCTAAATAAAAAGATAATTTTGTAATTAATGATGAAATGAAACTCAGGACTAACTCTTCCCAATGTAGCATTAATGTTCATAAAGCCAAACTACCAGAGGTATTTTCATTGAAAAATATAGTGATATATGTGGGCAATTTCTCTACATGAATAAATGGAAAGATTTCTCATGATTCTTATGACTGTATTTTATTTCCTCCTAAGAGTGTTACCATAATTTATTTAACCCATCTCATGTTGATGGATAGTTAATCTATTTTCTGACCTTTTTCTGTTCCTAATTGTGATGAAATACACTTGTACATATGTAACATCAGGTATATGAATAATGTGTCTACAGGATAAATTTGTAAAATGGAATTTGCTTAGTCAGTGAGTAACTGTGTTCATAATTGTAAATGGTATTTCCTGAATGCTACCTATAGAAAGTGTTTGAGATATCACTTCCAATAGAATACATGGGTTTCCTGAATACATCCTTGAGAATGGTCCAAAGTCACAGGTATCCCTTCTTCACCACCTGAGCAACAACTTTCTGAAGTTGCCTGGCTTTTTACTTCATATCTATATGAAAAGCCAACCTTTATGTATTACTGTGCTCTATCATAATTTGAACCCCTATAGTCAATGTGAGCTAAATTGTTTTATATTGACTATTTATGTGTTTCTGTACAGGATCCACTTGGATATGCTCAGAAATAAAAATCTGGTTTTATATTTTTAAAAGGTTAATAATGTCGTTCAATATAGCAGAGATTCAACCTTTGATAAAATTCAAAGTTGATTGTTGAGTTAAAGTAAATCTTCATTTGGAGTCAAGGAACATTTTTTTTCTATTTCAAAGGGGTATTTTCTTAAAGCCAAAAGTAAATACAGTTTTAATGGAGAAATGTTAGCTATGTTCCCTCTGACATCAGAAACAAGACAAAGATGTTCTCTATCATTATCGTCTATCACTATTAATTAACTTTGCTCAGAAGGTCTTTCCTGATGCAAAAGACCGTGAAGAGAGAGAAAGGAGGAAAACAATCTAAATATTTATAAACAATATAATGAACTGCCTAGAAAAAAAAACAAGAATGAAGGTAAAGCTTTTGGAATTTTCTTTGTCAAAAGAAGAAGGAGGAAGAGGAAGGCAGGATAAGGAAGAGGAAGAAGAGGAATTTTTGTGAATTCCATTACAAATCAAACTCAAAAATCAAATTTTAATATGAAACAATTTAGCTGATATTCATTATAGAGACCCAAATTGTGATAGAGCACATCATCATATAAAAATAATACTTTTGCAAAATTAAGATATCTAGAAACAAAAATGTCCTTAATAATACTTTTGGTCCTCACCTCATTTCAAATATGTGGCTACTTACGTTAATTCAAATGGAATCTCTCCTTGTTAAAGTTTGCCAATGTGTCAGACATCTGCAAGAAATTTATCCCAAAAAATATTGTCACATTTAAAAATACATTTTTCAGAAAAATATCAATGATAAGACATTCAAGAGAAACATGGCAAAGAAACTGATCTTGTAAGTACTAATGAAGATATTTGTTCTATTTATGTTCATTTTAACTTTCAAATAATCTACTTTGTTCTAAGCCCAAAAGGCTCCTCCAGCTCTTCTTAATCCTTTCTCCTCTACTAAACAGTAGGCGGCCTCCTGTCTAGGATCTAAGAATGTCCTCCTGATCCCTCCAATGAACTCCAATGACAGTGCTCTTGCTTTTTAAATTTTTTAGATCTATGGGCAAAGTGTCTGAAAGGGTATTTCTTCAAAATAGGTAGATACACAAATGGTCAAACAAGCACAGAAAAGATGCTCAACACCACTAGTCATCAGAAAAATCCCATCAAGAGAAACACAGCGTTTAGGATAGGAGGCCCCTGTGTTTCTCCTTTGCTAGCAAAGCAATAAACCTTCCTTTTCCTTATTACCAAAACTGTGTCTTCGTTATCAGGGACAAAGACGGAGCTTTCGGCAACAAATTTGGTACCCAGGTGGGACCTGAGAGCAGTCCCTGCTCCAGCTTTCTTGGGCAGGCCTGGTTCTCCAGAGAACCCCACTTCCACGCTGATGTAAAGCAGACTTTCTGACAGCCGATGGCTGGCGAGGTATGAGATGGGTGAGTTTGCCTCTGGTTGAACCAGAGGAGCTAGTCCTTTGAGGGACTGAGGAGCATCCCAGCAGCTGCCAAAGCTCCTTTTGCTTCAGGGAACACCTGCCTTCTCCACCTGAACAGTACCAGTTGCTCCATCACGGTCCACTGTCAGAAAAAGGAAACTGAACTAGTTAAGACGTGACTCCTTTGGTCCACTGTCAGAAAAAGGAAACTGAACTAGTTAAGACACGACTCCCTTGGTCAATTGGTAAGTCACCAGGTGTGCACACGGAGACCTTCAATATCACACATCATGTTCCTCTTTATGGGAACAGATGGTCCCTTTTTCTGGGGACATCTGTGGAGCCCCTGGTGTACAGTCATGGTTAAACAGGACTGGAGAACCTAGGGATGTTTACTCCCTTCTGATATGGTCTAGATTCTCCCCTGTTTGTTGGCCTTGGGCCTCGGAATTCCCTCTGGTTGTCTGTCTTTTGTTTTGTTTATATCTGTCACTGTCCCTTTTAAGACATGACCAATACTACATTGATCCTGTAGGTAGTCTCTTGGGAAAGATCTTGGCTGGCCAATTTAAAGTTTCCCATCTGTTCGTCATGATATCGGGGCTCTCTCTGGTTGTCTTTGTGTTTCTTTTTTATAAAACCTTGCAATCAGAGTCAGTCTGTCAGGGAAAAGTGAGTTGAAGAAAGGGGTTTCTACAGGTAGGAGCCTATCTAAGATGTTTTGCTGTAATCATCTGACTTTTGAAAGGCTTTCTGGATTATTACGCAATCTTGCAGTTGGAGCAGGTCTGTCAAAGGTAACGTAAGTGGAAGAATTTCAACATGCAGATCTGTCTGTTTTAAAGGTTACCATCCGTAAATGCTGGTTTGGGCAATCCTCTCTCTTTCTTTTTTCGATTTGTTACTGGCCATTTAAGACATGGGCCACGCTGCATTGATCTAACCAGTACTCTCTTGAGAAGAGAGATCATAGCTGAATGAGCCACCAGTAGAGATAAGCATGTCTAAAAAAAAAAAAAAAAAAAAAAAAGCAGTTTACTATAGCCCTCACCTTCCTCCCCCATGGGCCACATATGTCGGCAAAGTTGCTAAAAGTAAACAACAGGCCAGGGCATTTTAGAATAACATGCTAGAACCACCTGGTCCCCAGGGTCATCAGAACAGCTCCCTGACTGTCTAACACTACTGACTGACATGGCCTTCCCAGTGACACACTGCCCTCTGCCACTCACTCCAGACTCAGAAGTTCCCCCCAAACCATCCTGCCACGTGGGAGTCACAGGGGTCCTGACACTGCAGGTAGGAGTTAATGATAACAGAGGTTAAAATGTGTGAAATAATAGACAAAATAGGGGGAAATACAGTAAGAAGGGGCCGAGGGAGAGAGAAATGAAGGCCTTCTGTGTAGGAGGCAGGATACTCCCTGTGATGTCCTCAGAGTCAACCTCAGTCTTCTGGTCAACCTACCTACTTTCAACCTGGGCCCAGATGTTATGATGGAAGAGGAGGGAGACATGCAAAACAAGAACTTTATTAGGAAAACACAAAACCAGGCTAACTCTACAACACAGGCGGGGGAATCAATTAAAATTCTGGGTGCATAGGGTTCCTAACTAGAGGGATTCTTGAGGTTGCAGCCTGTGGCCTCCAACCAAATGTCTTTTCTTTAGTGGCAGGAGAATGGCACCTTGCTGGCCCTCTCACGGTGCTTTCTCCCTGGCAGGGAGGACACCACTCTCTTCCTGAGCCAGGGGAAGAAGCCCCGGAAATTCAGGCAGGAAGTGCCTTCTTTATCTGAAGGCAGGTCCCCCTCCTCTGACTGCTCTGATGACCCTGGGGAGCTCTCTGCAGTTCCAGGCTCCTGGCTTTCCATCTGCCAAGACAAAGAGGAGGAGTTAGAGACATTCAGGGTCAGCAGCAATGGGGCCAATAGTACTCATTTATGGATTTCCAATTTATGTTTTTACCTAAATGAGCCAACTGTCAATGCAAAGTTTCAGGACTCACTCCCATTAAAGCCACACACAGGCACACACACTGGTCTGTAAGGTGCTTCTCTCTGTCCTCCCCTCTCTCTCTCTCAGTGCTCCCTGGCATTTCCCCAACACCTCTTCCCTGACCCCTTTCCTGGCTGAGGACCTTCTCCCATTGCTCATCTGCCCAGACACTGGGGTCCTCCTCTGCTTCACAGCAGGTACAAGGACTCCATGCTGTCCCACCTGGCACCCCCACTGGGCCTGTCCTTCCTCGGCAGGGGGGCAGCTCTGTGCTCACCTCAACAGTTTCATCCTCCTCAAGCCCAGGAGGCATTTCTGGGCACTGCTTGGTGTCTCCATTTTCTGCTGTTTGACAGGTGGGTGAGTCCTGACAAGTCTCATGTTCTTCAGGACTGACCTGATCCATATGGGAAGAGACGCTGCTGGACGGCTGGACATCCTCCTCCTGAGGAGAACCAGGGAGCACAGTGTCGTCATCTTCGACATTCTTCGGCTGGACATCCTCCTGCTGAGAAGAATGAGGGAGGACAGATTCATCTACATCCTCCTCCTGAGGAGAATCTGGGAGCAGAGAGTCATCTACATCCTCCTCCTGAGGCGAATCTGGGAGCACAGTGTCGTCATCTTTGACATTCTTCGGCCTGTCCAGACACACCTTAATAATTTTCAAGAAATAATACATTTCCCAGACGGTCTTGGTTATTGTCTCCTGTTCCCAATTGTCCATACTCTCGTCATCATCATCATCATCGTCACTTTGAGCCCATTTAGCTACTGAGTCTTCGTGGAGGCTGCACAGGTAGGCATTAATGGGCTCATCCATGTCTTCTTCACCAGGCTCCTCTGGCTTCCCCTGAATTCCATTTCTTCTCCCCATGGGTCCCCTTACACTGCTGGCTCCCCCTGCCCCTTGGACAGGAGGAAGGGAGGATGGACCCTCAGGGGTCAAGTCTTCACAGGGTCTGACAGCCTCACAGTCAGGCCTGTCCTCTGAGGGGAAAGGGACTACAGAGAGGCTCTGGTTGGATTTGGATGGTGAAATACAGTGCTCCATGGTGGGGCAGCTGCTGCCAGAGGATGAGTCGTCCATGAGGTCCAAGGATCAAATGCCCAGTCTCCCTGGACACTGGAAATTTCAAAAGAAAAACATTAATTCATGATAGGGGGAAGGGACTCATGGACTTTTCCAAATGATGCCCCTTCCTTTATCCATTCCCAGCTATCCCACTCAGGCAGAAGTGCATCCTGTATTTGCACTCTCCAGTCAAGGGCACAAGAGGCAGTTCTTTCTCTTGGAAAACTCATTTTATTGAATAATGACCCTCTGCCCTGAGCATCTCCACCTGATACCTCTCATGCTTTGTCTTATCACTACAGTGGGAAGAACTGCCTCCCGTTAAAGATAGTTGTATAAAATCTGAAAACCCACAGGAAAGTAGAAAGGTGAAAATAAATACCCTCATCCCTCCATCCAAGGGGAATAATAACCATCAAAAAACATTTCGGTGCATTTATTTATAGTCTTCTTTTTTTCATATCTACACGTATGGATGGATTGTACGTGTATGCACCCATCATGCATATGAGTGTCACATCAAACAAAGTGAGATTATTAAATTTTGGAAATGCATATGTGACTATTCTGGAATCCTTAACCACTTTCCCGTTAAATGTCTTTGATGATCACCTATTAGTGATCATTAACATAGGTGATCAATGACCCTTACACGATTAAGACCACTAACAATAGTCTTATTCATGATACTAAACCCCTTATCCACAAGTCTCTACTTCTCTTTACATAGTCCTATAGGATGGATGATTGGATCAAAGATTACAAATATTTTGAAATTATTATAATTGATATTAATTTAGTTTCTAGAATTAATACAGCTATTTGAACCCACCCTCCCATCACATGATGACATCTGTAATCCAGGGTTTCTCATGATGCTCCAGCAAGTCATTGGGGAAGGGAATACATACACATTGGCTTTCCCTTGAGATCTCTCTCTCTCTCTCTCTCTCTCTGTGTGTGTGTGTCTCTCTCACACACTGTCTTCTCTCTCTCAGACACATACTCTCTTACCTTGTAGACTCTGTCACACCTGCCTCTATTTACTTCCTGTGGGAAACAGATGCTGCTAACTCCTGAGACAAACCCAGGCCACCTGAAGTCCTTCAGGTACTGAATCCAGTAACTTCTTGAGAAGTTCAACTGTCAGAAGCCTTGGCTGCCGTGGCAACAGAAAAACACAGGAGAGCATCTAGTGGGAACAGATTAAAAGGGGACAGGAAACCAAAGAACCCATCCCCTTGCTTTAATCATGATTTTGTGTCACTGTGACCAAAATATAGGACAAGAACAACTGAGAGAAGGAAAAGTTTATTGGAGGCTCACATTTTCAGAGGTCTCAGTGCATAAATGACCTGCTTCCTTGCTTTGGGTCCAATGTGGGGGCCACACATCACCGGGGAAGGGCCCAGAGGAGGAAAGCTGTTCAGCTGATGGAGGGCCAAGGAGTCCACAAAAAAAAAAAAATGTCAAAGATAGAATAATGCTTCCAAGGAAAGCCTCCCGTGACCCACCTCCTCCAGCTACACTCCCCACGCCTACACCAACCATCCAGGCAGTCAATACAAATTAGGATGGACTGATTTGGTTACTGCTCTCACAATCCAATTATTTCCTCTCCAGCCATTGCTCCATTCATACAGGAGCCTTTGGGGAAGATTTCGTATTTGAAACTAGAGCAGGTGATTAATGGGCCTGAAAGCAAAAAGAGACTCACCAGCCCACACATAATATTTGCTAATACATGCAAATATATGTACAGAACATCTCCAGAAGCAACAAGACAGTTGTTAGTATTGGTTGGCTCCGAGTAAGGGAAAAAAGGGTTGGATATAGATGTATGACTCTACAACATTTAGTAGCTTTTGAGTTTTAGCCCTCTCTTTCATTTTTATTCATTTTTATTTATTTATTTATTCGCTTATTTATTGACTTATTTATTTTATTTGGAGTGCTATTGATGGACCCCAGGCCTCACATATAGAGAAGCACACTACATTGAACTACACCCCTAGATCCCTTTTGCGGCTTGAACCATGTGACTATATATTACCTGTTTCAAAGAATAAATAGTATTCTAATTCAATAGGTCACAGGAACTTAAAAACACAAGTCCATTAACCAGTGGTCGTTAAGTCGGTTCACAAGTAAAGCCTGTTTCTTCTCTCCTGAGCACAAGGAGTGTAGTTCTCCAAAGTGTAGTGAAGCAGGTTTGGCTGTATCTTGTTTGAAAAATGAAAGACAAGTTGAACTAACCTGAGTCAATCAGGCTGAAGCTATAAAGCCAGTGCGTGCTTTTCCACTATCTCTTTTTCCTGCCTCATGGGTCATGGAAATATCTCACCAGATGGAAGCCTGATTAGCCCGAGTGCATGACTTCTAAGTAGTAGACACCCACCTTTCCACCACCCCTACGCTACAATACACTGGACAGGTAGCATGAGGGAGAAAGAACCTTTTTTGTTTTAAATGACTTATTAATGGAGTTGTTTGTCACCATAGCATGGACGAGCCTATCCTCGCTGATAAAAGATTTAATTAGATGATTCTGGACACTTTTTCCAAAAATCAAAATATGTGATTTTTAAGAATATTTTATGCTTATCCTCTTGAATTAAGATTGATTCATATATTTGTAGCCACATGAATATTAATTTGAGCAACAATATGAATATTTACTTAGGATTATTTTTTTAACAGATAATTCCTATTCCTTTATTTTAGAATTAAGTAATCCCTTAGGCACAATACATAGCAGGTGACAGTTTCCTGTGCCTTCAATCACATAACATGTTTTTTTTTTCGCTTGATAATTCATACATTTGAATCAAATGGGGTATAATTTCTCATTTTTCTGAGTGTACAGGTTGCAGAATCACATTGGTCATACAGTCACCTATATACATACAGCAATAATAAAGTCTATTTTATTCTGCTGCCCTTCCTATCCCTCTTCCCGTCCCCTCCCCTCCCATCACTTCTCTCTACCCAATCTAATGTGACACATTTCTTTTTTTTTTCTTTTTCTCCTCACAACATCATACATGTATTCTGTATAACAATGAGGGTCTCCTTCCATCATCCGTGCAATTCCCCTTCTCCCTCCTTTTCCCTCCCACCTCTCTTCCCTATTTAGTGGTAATCTTCTCATGCTCTTTCTCCCTACCCCATTTTGAGTCACCCCTCTTATATCAGACAAGACATGCAGCATTTGTTTTGGGGGATTGGCTAACTTCACTTAGCATAATCTGCTCTAATGCCATCCATTTCCCTGCAAATGCCACGATCTTGTTATTTTTTAGTGCTGAGTAATATTCCATTGTGTATAAATGCCACATTTTCTTTTATCCATTCATCTATTGAAAGGCATCTAGGTTGGTTCCACAGTCTAGCTATTGTGAATTGTGCTGCTGTGAACATTGATGTGGCTGTGTCTCTGTAGTATGCTACTTATGATTATTAATCCAGGCCAAAATTTGGCAATCTACATCAAAACCTCATAAACATACACCTTTTGACCAGGAAATTGTACTCCTAGATACTTATCTTAAGGAAGTAATCTGTAATAATTTTATTGAACAGTTATTGTGCCATAGTCATTATTCTAAGTGCTTGGCACAAATTAACACTGAGTGCTTATAGCACCCTATGATGCATCACCTACAATTATTATCTATTTTTATCACATTCTTACACAAGTTAATGGAATGAGTTAATGGAATTGTTTGTCACCATTGCATGGATGAGCCTCCTACACAAGGAGACTGAGACTTAGAGAAGTTAAGCAACTAGGTTCAAATTATATAACAGAATATTTTAATCCATCAGCCTGACACCCACGGCTGTGCTTTCAATCATTATGATAGACTGCTACTTCTTAAATACCTTTATGCGTATGAATCGGAGCACAGCATTAGAATAACAAATCTGGTGTTGTGGTTTGGATGTGAGGTAGCCCCCAACAGCCCATGTGTAAGACAATTCGAGAACCTTCAGAGGTGGAACAATCAGAGTACAGGGCTCTAAACCCAATCAGCAGATTATCCATTGATATGGATTAGCTGGGTGGTAACTGTAGGCAGGTGGGATTTGGCTAAAATAGATGTGTCCCTGGGTGCGTGGGTTTGGTGTTTAGGTTTTGTCCCTGGTGAAAGGAGTTCTTTCTCTGATTCCCGCTTGCCATGTCCTGAGCTGCTTCCTACTGCCACAGTATTCTGCCTCAACTTGGGTCGAGAGCTATGGAGTTGATTGACTGTGGACTGAAACTCTGAAATATTTGCTAAATCACCTAAGTTGTTCTTGTCAGGTGTTTTGGTCATGACAATGCAAAGCTGGCAAAAACAACTGGGAAACTATTTAATATCTAAGTGTAAGAGACTGGTTTGAAACAATTATGTTAGCACTATGTGATAGGGTACTTATAACTTGCAGTCTTTTTTAATTTAATTTTTTTTCTCATGATCTGGGGATTAAACCCAGGGCCTCACACATGCTAGGCAAGCACTCTATCACTAAATTACACCCTCAGCCTTTTTTTATTTTTGAGACAGAGTCTCACTAAATTACCCAGGCTGGCCTCAAACTTGTGATCCGCCTGCCTCAGCCTCCCAAGTCACTGGGATTATAGGTACGTACCGCCACACCTGACTTTAAACTCAATTTTTAAGAATCACTTGGGCTGGAGATGTGGCTCAAGCGGTAGCGCGCTTGCCTGGCATGCGTGCGGCCCGGGTTCAATCCTCAGCACCACATATAAACAAAGATGTTATGAACACCGAAAACTAAAAATAAATATTAAAAAAATTCTCTCTGTCTCTTTAAAAAAAAAAGAATCATTTCAGCAAACATTTATTAAGCAGCAATTAAATAACAGACAATGGTCCAAAGAGGCACATAAAAAATGTTTATAATATATAAGATGAGAACAAGTTAAAAAAAAAAGCCTAGTCCCATTTTTTCAAAAATTTTATGTTGTAACTCAGTGGTAGAGTGTTGGATCAGCATGTGTGAGGCAC